CGTTTCTCCCTCCGGCGTTTGGCCGCCTGAGGCCTTCGCTCTTGTAATTTGGATCAGTTGTCGTCTGCTTTATCCGAGCCATTGTGTCCTATACAGACACGTAACTGGTCGGAATCTGAGGCAAAGGGTGGTCCCAACACCCCAAGACGACACTCCCAGTCCTAGACTCAGCCGTCCCTGGTGACTGGCTGGACTCTAACCTAGGTTGTGCCGTGTGTGTTGGTGATGCACCCATTTATTGCAAGAAATATGTACAAGCGGTGAAAAAAGAAAAAGAGCTGAAAGAGGCAGAGACGGTACCTTTTGAAGAGATATCTGAAACTAGGCGGGTCCGGCTGGGTCTCTTGAAGACGAGCTTTCTTGCTTGCGCCTGACTCAAACGGGTAACGTCTGCTCTCTCAAAGGTCTCTCTAGAAAATTTTTTGTAAACGTACCAAAATTATGAGGGTAAACGGCTATATATAGAGGGTAAAAACGGGGGCATTTCCGTAATTTACCCGGAAGATGAACGGTTACTCTTTAATGGTAAAATTACCGCCAATCGGAGTGTGACACATGTCACAGATGGCACGTGGCGTGCCACGTCACATCTATGAGGGGAAAATGTTTAGGGTAATTTTACCCCGCCACGTGGTCCAATCAGAGGACGATACGTGTCAGCCTCAGGATGGCCCAAAGTGGACCAATCTCTGCTTGAAACGGTGTCGCTCCAGAAAATACGGGGAAAAAGGGCGGCCTTCAGGCCCAAATCCCGAGAAAGCCGCAGAGCGGCGCAGCCCACCACTGATTAGGGTACAGTGACCTAATCAGGGGCACAAATCCCAAAGACCTTATATATAGGGAGATGACCCTCTTTTTGGGGACACGTTTTATCATTTATTACACATTTACTCTTTGATAGAGACATCCTGAGCTTGGAATCCGAGCAGATCCCTACCTAAATTTCCGCACCTTTTTCTCCCTTCAAGTTTCTAACTTGTGCGTCGGAGGCGGAGCACCACCCAACTGGTGTCTCCGTTTATTTTGCAGGTATAGCTCTCCCCCGATCAGTCTGCGTGTTATAACTCTCCCGAGGGACAAAAACACCCAAAACAGTAACCATGTCATGAGTACTCAAAAATAAAATAGAAGAACCAATATCCTAATCTAGGTGAAACATTCTCGGGATTCCAAATGCTCATTTATGACTTCACCTGAAATTAGTCAACATTGCTTACCATTAAGGTAAACAGGGCGAACCAAAACAAAATATGAAATACGGATTAGAAAAATATGTTAAGTACGATAAGTGCGAGATAATTAAACTCAATTAATTCATAAACATGCTTTTGAAATCAATTCCATCCATTCTAATAATTAAATCAATAATTTCAACTCAAGATTCCAAACCAATTTCAATAACCAATATTAATATCCAATAACTCCAATTCCACTTATTTTAAAACCAATTCCAATTATTCAAAACCAATTCCAATTCTTCTCCCAAGTGTGCACATCCACCAAGCTAGTCTCCTTATGTTACAAGGCTATTCTTGAGGAAAGACTCGCTCGTACAGAGTCCAAAGTCTTATCAAATAAATCAAATCCGCATAGTGGGATTACTAACATGCTTATAAAGCTTTAATAATAATAATTCAATAAATCCTCTTTAAATCCAATACATCCAACTTTTAACAATAATTCCAAAACTCCTCTTTATTAAATTCAACAGGCTTTCAAAATAAAACCCTTTTAAACATGAATAATAATTAATTCATTTTAAACATGGTATAAAATCAATACTCCAATTTATTTATTAAAACCACTTTATTTAAACACACTTTATTTCATAAATCATAATCCAATTCAATTTAATTCAATCATCACAAGAAATCATTCAAACATGCTCATTCAAATCAATCTTTTTCAAGATGTCTAACCACCTAAGGTACTATGATAATTGCTTATTAAAACACACAAACGGAACCTCAAGATTCTTGCTCGAAAACACCCTACAAATAAATATAACCTTAATTAATATAAGGTTAACAAATCATCACAAATAATTAAACTAAAAACCTCCCAACTATATATACATGAACCACTTAAATTAATTTATCATAAACATTATTAGAAATCAGATTTTATATAATTAAAACATGCCATAATAATTTTTTTATAAATTTCCCCATAATAATTATAATTAATTGAATAAGAGAAAAGAAGAAGAAAATAAAGGTAAGAAACCAAGGAGAAGAGAAAGAGAAGGTGGCGGCAAGGGGGTTGTCAGCGGTAGCATGTGGTTCCAAAGGTGGAGGGCGGCGGCAGGTGGGCGGTCGGAAGGTGGTGGTGCACGGTGGAGGTGGTGGTGCGGAAAAAGAATAGAGTAAGAAAATTAATTAGAGAATTTAAGAGAGAATTATGAGAATTTGTGTGAGGTTTGATCTTGAATTGAAGGGGTATTTATAGGCTAGTGTAAGTTGATTTATGGTAAGAAAATGTAGGAAGAATTATTGTAAGTAGGGTTTAAGGGATTACTTGGAGAAGTGAGTAAACAAAATTAAGAAAAGTTTGAATATTACGGTGATTGTGTACAATTAAATATGGAAGGTATGTATGTCATGAAAAATAATAAGGAAATTTGAATTACTTGGGGAATAATTAAGAAGAATGAATGGCAAGAAAGTATGATGATTAGATATTAAAAATATAGAGGAATAGAATTAAGGAAAATAAGAGATTTTGGGAGATAATTAAAAAATACAATTTTACCAAATAAATTCTCCCAAAATAATTCAAGAGGGCCGAAAATATTGAGCTTACCATAGCTTAAATTTTCTGATTCCTCTAGATATATTTAGGAAGATTTTGCTCGGTTTTTGAGGAATAAAATAATTGTATAAATAATATAGAATAAATACTTAAATAATTAATTAATTAATTAAATACCAAATATTTACCAATAAATAACTAAGAAAATCAGATTTTCCATTCATGGGAAATCCGAAATTCCTTAGCTCATTATTGGAATTTTTGGCCATAATAATTAATTAATAAAATATTATTTTGCTTTAATTAAAATATCTGAAATATGTAAGTAATTCAGTTTTTAAAATAAGATAATTGGCTAATAAATCTTATCCAAAATAATGATTAGTTTTCAAAATATTTTTGGCGTAAAAATTCAAACATTATTTTGGCTCCAAATAGTTAATTTACTAAAATACCCTTTTTATTAAATAATTCCTAATTAATTAATTATAAAATACGCATGAAAATACAAGGTATTACAATCATTGCCTCCCTCTTTTTGGCATCATGCATTACAAATGGCAACTTATCTTCATAATATTCTTCCAAGTAAATTATTATAGTCCAAATCTCCTCTAGAAATTCTTTATCAAAGGAAACCGTCTTATTCACACCTATGTGTCTTTGGTTGTTTATGTTACCCCTTATTTCCATCCATTACCATTAATAAACTTCAACCTTGATCAACACCATATGTCTTTTTGGGGTATCCACCGAATCATAGGGGTTACAAATGTTATGATTTATCATCTAATAAGATTTTCATTAGCCGACATGTTGTGTTTGATGACACTGTTTTTTTCTTTTTCCAAGTTACATACACCCACTAATCACACTTATGATTTTTTGGATGAGGGTCTACATCCTTATGTTGTTCAACAATTGCAACTTCCTTCTGGACCGCCCACTGACAAGGCCCAACCCATGATTCCGGAACTAGCTTCCCCCTTAAGCCCAGTTCCGGATTCCCCAAACTCACCTGGGCTGCCTTCTCCCTCAAGCCCAGACCCGCAGCTCTCTCCTATCCAACCCCGTAGCACTCAAGCCTGCCTATGGACCGTAGGCCTGTTCAATCAACCACGGCCCACTCGGGTGTTACTCACACAGCTGGCCTAAGTGATCACTCTTCTCCCCCCTAGCCCGCCTATTCTAGTCCAACAGCCACCCCCACCTTATACTACAGTCACAAGAAGTAGAAATGGGATTGTCAAACCAAACCCGAAATATAAATATTTCAATGTTATGGTGTCTAATGTGACAAAGTCCCCCCTTCCTCGTAACCCAGTTTCTACTCTTCGTGATTCAAATTGGAAAATGACAATGGATGATGAATTTAATGCTCTTATTAAAAATAATATGTAGGAGTTGGTGCCCCGTCCACCTGATGTTAATGTTATTTGTTCTATGTGGATTTTTACTCATTAAGTGAAATCTGACGGTTCTTTTGAGAGGCATAAGGCCCGTCTTGTAGGTGATGGCAAAACACAACAGATTGACATTGATTGTGGGGAGACTTTTATTCCGGTGGTCAAACCGGCTACCATCCATACTATGCTTAGCTTGGCCTTATCTAAGGCTTGGCAAATTTATCAGCTTGATGTTAAGAATACTTTTTTGCATGGTGAGCTTACTGAGATAGTCTACATGCATCAACCTCTTGGTTTCCGTGATCGGAATCATCCTGATTATGTCTATTTACTACGGAAATCGTTATATGGTCTTAAGCAAGCATCCAGAGCTTGACACAAGCGCTTTGCAGATTTTGTTACATCTATTAGTTTTACCTATAGCAGGAGTGACAATTCTCTCTTTGTGTTGGCTTTAATGTGGCTCACTTTTTACTTTATGCTAATGACATTATTCTCACAACTTCTTCTGATGATCTACGACGTACTATTATGTCCCGTCTTAGTGTAGAGTTTGCTATGAAGAACTTGGGTCCTTTGAATTATTTTCTTGGCATTGCATCGACAAGGCATAAGGGTGGATTATTTTTGTCACAAAGGAAATATGTTAAGGAGATCATTGAAAGAGTAGGGATGAGTTCGTGCTAGTCTTCGACCACTCCAGTTGAAGCAAAGTCGAAGGTCGGTGCTTTGGGTTCCGCTTTTGCAGTTCCGGCCTTGTATCACAGGCTTGCTGGGGCGCTGCAATATCTTACTTTTACAAGGCCGGATATATCTTATTCCATGCAACATGTATTCTTACACATGCATGATCCGAAAGATAATCATATGGATGATCTTAAGCGGATCATTCGATACATACAAGGTACCCATGGGCATAGTTTGCATCTTTATCCTTCATCTACTTCTACACTTATATCCTATACAGATGCTGATTGGGGTGGTTGTCCCGATAGAAGACGTTCAACGTTCGAATATTGTGTATTTCTGGGTGATAACTTGATATCTTGGTCATCAAAACGCCAACCTACTCTTTCCAAGTCTAGTGCTGAGGCAGAGTACAAGGTTGTCGCCAATGTGGTTTCTGAGTCATGTTGGCTTAGTAATTTATTATTGGAGTTACATCGTCAAATTAAAAAGGCAACCTTGGTATATTGTGATAATGTGAGTGCTATTTACCTTTCGGGTAATCCGGTACATCAACGCACCAAGCATATTTAGATGGACATTCTTTTTGTTCGTGAGAAGGTGGCTAGGAGTAAAGTTCGAGTACTCCATGTTTCATCTATGCACCAAATTGCGGACATCTTTACAATAGGGCTACCACGAGTGTTATTTGAAGATTTTCAGGATAGTTTAAGCGTTTGTCCTCCTCCCGCTTTGACTAAGGGGTGTACAGTGTTAAGATATATTAGTATAATATATCTTTGACTTTGTAAATATTATGTTTCTTACTATAGTGCTTAGAATATTAGTTGTACCTATTTTATATATAGCTAGATTAGTTTCTTGCGATAAGGCTTGTATTTTGTATATAATCATAGCATGATGGAATGGAAACCTCATGGAAAATATTTCCTTCAACTATGTCTAGGTGTTGTTGAGTATATAAATTTTGTTGATAAGGTTTGAGCAATTAACAACATGCTTCGATCGCCCATCAAGCATAAAATCTTAAAAGAATAATTTAGCATGACTCAACTTCTCGATAGCAGCTTTAAAGAATTGACTCAATCAAAGCCCAAAAAACCTCGATTCAAATTTCAACCCGTATGGATACAATAATTTAACATGACTCAACTTTGAAATATACCCTTCCCAACTTGACCTCATCAAACCCGATTGAGGTACCCAAATTGACACCTCTCCCGAACACTGTTGCCCATATTAAGATTACCCAATAGAAAGGGAAATATAGAACAATTAACCAAACCCCGTGCCTTGGACTGATTTTTTCTCAATATAATTACGCAGTCCTTCGCGAAGGGGCCAAAGAGCTAAGTGGGGTAACAGGCATCAGCAAATCCCAAGCTCTGCTTTATTTTTTTAGCATCACTTTCCAACCCTGCACCATCAACAGAGATGGTATGGTATACAAACACAAACATTATAGTATAATATTATTATTATCTTTCACTTCCATCACTACTTCTTCTATTCATTTATGGCTTCTTTCTTGAATCTCGTTGTTTCCATCAATTCCCTTCTTCCTTAACTCACCACTTCTTCAAATACAACAAGTATGCATTATATTTATAAACTACATCTTTCATTTCATAATTTTTTATTTAGTTTTAAATAATTTTGTCTACTTGTTTTCAAATTTCATCTACCCTTGCAAATTGCAATAAAATACATGAAGAATCAGCTTTAATTAAATCTTACATATAATATTAGCTATGTATTTGTATCTGCATTGTTTTCATTAGCTAAAGAAAATTTATTTATTTTTTGTTTTTAGTTGGTATAACACAAGAAGATCAATGAACACATCTAGTAGCTCGGCAAATGAAGCATTTGAAGGATCTGTGTATGTACCACAACCAAGGGAAGGGCTACACGAAGCCGGTCCACCGCCTTTTCTAACGAAAACGTATGATATCGTCGAAGATCCGAGAACGGATAATATTATTTCATGGAGTAGAGGAAATAATAGCTTTGTTGTAAGAGATCCACAAAGTTTCTCCATCAATCTTCTTCCAAAATATTTCAAGCATAACAATTTTTCATGCTTTGTGAGGCCGTTCAATACTTATGTGAGTTACATAATATGCCCTAAACTTTTAATAATTTAACTTATGGTATGCTATTTAATTTTATTTATTGGATTTAATATTGCTTCCTCAAAGTAGAAAGAATTGATTCTGACGCTGTTGATTGATTGTCCTTACCACTTGCTATTTCTAGCTGTGTTTTTTGAAAAGTGCAATGTTGGTTCCCTTGACTTGTTGTATTTTAGGCCTAATTGTTATTTGTCAGAGTAATGCTTTTAATTTGGATTGTCTAATTTCTTATCCATTTTTGTAGTTTGTTTTTATATCGATTTCAAAATATACTACCGTTATCTTATATTTTATTAAATTTATTATATTATTTAAAGTTCTTATTACTTTAATTAATTTATGAAAAATTTGTGAATAAGTTCTTTTAAGTAGACCTTTTTGTAACAAATGCCCTTTTATAAAAAAAAAAGTGGCACAAAAAGTCCTTATATCATGTGTGGGTTGTGAGGAGGGTTCTTGACCATTTTTCGGCGTTGATTTTTGTTTTTTTTTATTATTTTCCGGCCAAAAAAAGCCACGTGTAAAGCACGTGACTTATTAAGTTCCCTTATTTTTTTTCTCTATTTTCTCTCATTGTGGGGAGGATTAGCCTTGAATTACTTTGAATAGCCTTCAATTTTAATTTATAGGATTACGATTTAAGTTCTAGTATAATTTTTTTTTTCCAGAAATTAGGGTTTAATAGAGGAAAAAAAGGGGAAAACGAGGGAAAAGAGGAGGGAGAAAAAAGGGAACTTATATGTGATTTTTTTTGGCCGGAAAAAATAAAAAAATCAACGCCGGAAAATGGTCAAAGGACCCACCTCACAACCTAAACATGATACAAGGATTTTTTTTTTCTTTTAAATAAAAGAACCTTTGTCACAAAAAGATCTACTTAAAAGGACCTTCCTCAAAAATTTTCCTAAATTTATTTCCAACTTTTTTTATAACCCATTTTGAAATATGCTATCTCCATCCGAGTATACATGATTGAAGCTGTAAACTTGTTTCTACTATTCATAGATATAACTTCACCAAAGTTGGTATTAGTTCTGAATAAATATATGAACTCAAGTGGTTGTTTTTTCAAAAATGAGTAAAATCTTAATTTCTAGTAAGAACACAAATGTTTTACCCACTATATCTATTGAAGCCCAAGAACCACCTTAGTTAATGATTTAGTGTAGACTCACCACAAATTTAACGCTGTAACAAGTTTACAAGTGCAAACTAGACTTGTGTGCATGACGGCCATGCCAAATTATTTGGACATAATCAATGTTATATACAAGTATATTTTGTTACTAATTGTGTATACCCAAATTATTATTATCTTCCAATTAGAGAAAATATCAAATAAGTTAAAAGAGTTACTCTTACCATGACTGTGTTTGGCAACACAATTTGATGTGATACTAGATTAAAAAGGATAGTAACTGAAACGGATAATATAAGGTCTTGAAAATAATTATGTAGTTTTTTTTTTTTTTTTTTGAGGGGAAAATAATTAGGTAGTTGATTAATGTTTGGCTAAGTTTATTGTTTAAGGAGTTAAATTTTTTTAATAGTTAAAAAATAAAAAGTAACAAAAGACATTAGTAAATTGATATGGTATCCAAAGTAACATCTAAATAAATACAAGGCCAATACAACACCTTAAAATTATTTTTAAAAGCCTGTCAAATACGAAGAACCAGTTATTATTTGAGGTGCCTTAAAAAAAACCAAATAAAAAAAACCGATTTATGATAATGATATTAGGAGAATGTCTAGTTTGTGTAATGTTTTTATTTTTTCGCTTGTGAGAAGGGTTGGCAACTCGGTATCCCATCTTGTAGCTCGATAGGATATCCATAGTGTTTAGAAACTTATTATATGAGTCCATTCCCCCAAAGTATTACTTCTTTGGGGAATTTCATTTATAACAACATATGCCTTACCTTCCTTTCAAAAAAAAAAAAAAAAAAAAGATCCAGGTCCCTTTACATTTTAGTAACTTAACACTTAAGGTACTTGAAATGAGTTGCCAATCACTATGATAAATTGACAAATATGTAATATCATTACCTTCCTCCAATACATATACTTCCTCCGTTTTTATTTTATTGCACCATTAGGACTTTTACACTATTCACTTAATCTTGTTTGACCATCATTTGTGATTTACTCATTCGGAAAAATATAGTCATGCGGGATCTAGTTAGATTCGTCTCGAAATATTCTTTTCAAATATCAAATTTTTATAATTTTTACAAAAGTATAATTGAAGATATTAATAGCTAAAAAAATGCATTGGCAAGCGTGAAATCCCTCATGGTGCAATAAAAAAAAGAACGGAGGAAGTATAAAATATTAAAATGTATAAAGCTTTCCGAAAATAGCTAGTCACATAGATATCATGATAGAGTGTAAAATATCATCTTGGGCCATCAACTTAAACTTTGGTTGAGTTGGTCCTTAAACATGTTATTAGAGTCAACGTGATATAGAGGTCAAGTTCGAATCTCATCTACCCCTCCACCTTTAAGTGGAATATCAAGTGATAGGTATGAGGAAGGTCCATACTGCATCCAAACTTCAAGGAGTTCAAGCCCAATGAGCTCTCGTGTAAGGGGGCGTGATAGAGTATAAAACATTATCATAAACATATATCTTGCAAAGGTTGTTATACACACCCAAATGTACCTATTTGATGTGGTTGAATTAAAAGATAGTTGTAGCTCATTTACTGATCAAATGAGCAACAAAAAAGTAACATTAGTGCACCTTGCACCCATGAGGCCATGAGTATGTAAATGTTTTCACATATCTAGAAGATAGACAAGCGAGTTCATGTACAAGGCAATTTAATCGTTTGAGCATTTAAAAATTCCACGACTAAATGTCAAATGATCAATTGAACCAAAATTTTAAGTTAATGGATGAAGTCTCAAGTTTGAATTTTTAGTTTATTACGCTCCCTCACATGAAACCTGGACCATTGAGATTGATATGTGATGCCGCAATGGCTCCTCAACCTCATACTCAATGTTAATTATTTCATTTTGTCTTGATGGTATGGTAGATCATGTTCGAACTTGTGCTTTTTTTGGCACATTGGTTCAAATACCGTCGCAAAGAATCAACTCAGTCAAAGGTAACGATCATAGTTTTATTCCCCCTTTTTTTTTGGGGGGGGGGACAACATAAGATAATGGTTACATTAGTTCCAAGTTTGGTCTCTTATAATTTTGCATTGTTTAGATGAATTGAATATGACAAATTCATTTCACTTTAATGAAATGCACCCAATAACATTCAAAAGGTAGATAGGATCAAGGTGCAAAAGGCACATTTGCGGGCAACGACGGCTAATACTAGTTTACTGTCTTTTAATAATGTTTAGTAGTGTAGTACAACGAATAACTCAATCCATCTTGAAAATTAAAATTGACAATTTTAAAACTCAATTTTCAA